AACAACACCAACACCACCACCACCAACAACAACAACAACAACAACAACAACGACAACGACAACGACAACAAGAACAAGAAGAATAACAACGACAGCGACAGCGACAGCGACAGCGACAGCGACAGCGACAGCGACAGCGACAGCGACAGCGACAGCGACAACAACACAAACCAACAACACAAGCCAACACAATTCATGCACAAAACCGCGTCTATAACTCTGACCCTGAGGCGGTCCTTCGCATGTCGGACGATAGCCTGTGCTCGAGCCGCCTTCTTCGAACGACCTTAGGGAAAGCCTTAAGGTAACGGGGCTCCTTCATGGTAAAAAATCAACATCAGGAACCCCAAGGAATAATATTAGTAACTATTTAGGCGTCTATACTACTTTTAAGGTTCTTACACAAGTGCCAACATGGGTCAACAGGAGTCCATACACGTTCCCTGATGGCCTGTATGAGGATGTAAACTTATTTGTAAACTTCAGATGCCATAATCGTAGTTTGGGATATCTCACAGCATAGCTCCCTCTGAAACATAAGCGAATATGGGTTCAACTGATCTAGGCTTTAGATTTAGGGTTGACTGGGGAGTTCGTGAGTCTCGATTTGAATGAAGTTAAGGAGCCTTGGAATGATGCTACAAGTTCTTCAGGCTCCTATTACGGCTTCCTGCGGAATCTGTATGTAAGCGTTTGGATTCAGGGTCATGGCTACAGGGTTTGGGCCGACAGCCAAATTCAAAAAATGGACGCACTTGCCACGCGTGGCAGCTGGGAACTCGCATATCTTCGTTCGCAGGTTCGCAATTATTGAGGCCCTAAGGGGCTCTAGTACCCTATATATATAGTAGGTACCTGGGGGGTTAGGGTAAACCATCGAGAATATGAGCTGCCGGGCGTTTAATGTGAGGATGGCTGGAAATTTGCCCCTGTAAGATGTAGGTCTGCAGGGCCACAGCTGCAGGTGGTTGAGTCTATAATGTAGGGGCCTTAATAATTAGAATAGGGTTTTGGGGTACATTATACTATAATTATAATAAGAAACCCCCAAAATAATGTAGGGGCCTTAATAATTTGAATAAGGTTTTGGGGCTCATTATACTTATAAGGAACCCCCGAAATGATGTAGGGGCCTTAATAGTTAGAATAGGGTTTTGGGGCGCATTATACTATAAATATAATAAGGAACCCCCAAAATAATGTAGGGGCCTTAATAGTTAGAATAGGGTTTTGGGGCCCATTATACTATAATTATAATAAGGAACCCCCAAAATAATGTAGGTAATTATTACGGCCCCAATATAAACGTCGGACTTGACTTTGCAACGACTGGGCCAGCAAACACTTCTGCTCTGCTTTCGTGTGCCTGGGCCTGAAACGTCCACACAGCGCCCGAAAGCCCTGAACCCCAACCCCTAAACTCTAAAGCCTAATGCCTAAGCAGTTCAGAAGGTGCTTTTGCTTTCTCGAGAGCTGCATTTCAGCCATCATGGGGCGGAATCCATAAGAAGGGCTCCCTGAACCCTTTACCCATAGGCCCCATAGTGGTTCCTTTTTATTTTGGGATTCCCTAGTAGAATCCGAAATAGAAGCCACAAAAAGGAACTACNNTACTATGGGGCCTATGGGTAAAGGGTGGCTGAGGTGGCTCAGGCAAATGCCTGAGCCAAACAGCTGAGGTTGCGACGAGCGCCCTGGAAGCCGACTGCCTTGAGATGAGGGTTTAGGGTTTAG